TCGTTCGTTGCCGAAATTTCGTTTCGGAGAAAGAGAGTAGAGCTCCTGGTTAGCCGACGCCGTTTTCCTTTCAAGTAGTAGTACCAGATACTTTTCCTCCAAATCTCCCCGAAAAAAATGCTTTCCCCCAAATTTGGGGGAAATCCCCCCAATATTGCATCACTAAGGTAAATTCTAACTGAACGCGGATGTAGGGTCGTTTACCCGTGTTCCAGTGAGCTTAAAACGCGAGTAAAATAATTTAATACATGTATTGGGTGCCCGAAATCCATAATGTCTTTCGTGCATAGGGCGCACGGGCATACGGGTTAGCGACCAAGTGTAATTGCGCCTTAAGTTGTATCTTATGTGCTGCCACAGACTTCACACATACTTATGTTATGACACTTGACTTCCTTTTTTTATGAAAGGCGGAACAAGAGGCTTCCGACGCTAGAGGCAAGGTGATCCGCTCGCCACTTAATCTACTTACCTACACCACGAATGATTGAAATGAAGAATTGAATAAAAAACATACACACACACTAGAAGTTATTACATCATTCGTATTAATTATATGTTATATTTTTTACACTAACTTCAACGTGCGACTTCGTCTGAGTCGCTATGGCGATTTAAAAAAGTGTTTTTTCGTAATATATCCTTAGGTAAGGACTGTATTACAAAGTTATTATCCCTGTATGATGGTAGAAAACAAAACCCATGCTTTTATGGACGCGTATGACTTGTAGGGACTTGGCTGGATTTGCAGTTTTGCGCAGGTTATCAGGCTAATAGTCAACTTGTGGCAAAAGTTTTCTGCCGCTTATGGCCAGGAAATGATGAATCTACATTAAATTGGGTTTCCATGGTGGCCTGCATAGAGCAACACAGCTGACGCGGCTGGGAGGGGAGTAGCCATAATGACATAATACTACAGAAATCATTCTACCGCTTTGTACGGGGGGAGGAATATGCACACAAATGCAGTCCAACATACTTTCGCAAAAACTTGTAAGTGATTTAATACAACATACACACATAAAAAATTACAACACTCACACATAAAAAGGACAGCGCTAGATGGGGCATAGATGAAACTTAAGTTTTTTTTGATTTGACGACCTCCGTGGCCGAGTGGTTTGTACGTCCGGTTTCATGGTGTCGCCGACTCGAGAGGTCCCGGGTTCGAATCCCGGTGGGGGCAGATGTTTGTGTGTTGAATTCGAGCATTTGTACTTCAGTCATTTATTTATTTATTTATTAAGGGATAAAAAACATGGAGTCATGGATGTTTAACATGTATTTTAGTCCAGGCAACGAAAAGGTATAGAGGGAATTGCTTAGAACACAATTTTTGACTTCGTGACTTTGTTAGGACTAGTTAGGAGGTAAACATATCAAAAGTACCCGCCCGTAGCCCTTAAGCCGGGGGTGGGGGGGGGGGGGGGGGGCTTGAAGGTCCCATTATTAGGTTTTTCGCATATATCTCGAAAACTATGCATCCTAGCGACATGAGACTTTCACTAAAGTGAAAGCTGATTAAATTTGCTACAAGTCTTATTCAGTCAATTTTTTTGATATCTTGTATAGTTTTCGAGATATCCGCTCTTGAAAGTCTGTAATTATGGAAAAAAAATTTGTTCCCATTTTTGCTCTATTTGACCGGATAACTCTTCAACAATGCACCCAAAAAATAAATGCCGGCCGTAGGGTTGTAGAGCATTAAATTATCTTCAATAATAGAAACAATTGCCTTTTTTTTTTATTTAAGGACAAAATTGTTAGTGTAGTAGACGTATGGGGGCGGTACGGTGGGCACTAGGCCGCGTACTCAGCCCCCACGCGCGGGCCGTCCTGCGCACGTCTGTGGGGTCCTCGCGATACCCCGGGAGACCCCTGCCGCGGAACCTCGGCAAGGCCGGGAGGCTGCTAGGTGCGGAGACGCGGAAGAATCCCTAAACGGGGATTCCGCGGCATCGCACTAAGCAGCTTAGAGGGTGTTCGCAGGGTTTTTTAGCGGATATTATGCCGTATAGCGCCCGTAAGGGTTACGGGGTCCTCAGTGGGCAGCCACTGCTGGGGCTCGTAAGGCTTGCGGGAGCCAGGTGTGAGGTCCATAAGTAAAAAAGAAAGTAAATTAGTGTCATTGAGAAACTGTAATTATCTAATAATAATATCTGTAATAATGATATCCGCTCTTGAAAATCTGTAATTATAGAAAAAAAAATACTTTACATTTATGCTCTATTTGACCGGATAACTCTCGGATAACTCTTTAACGATGCACCGATGTCTAAATAGCACACATGCTCATTTTAGAATATGTACTTGTTGGCCCACTGACCAGGTTCTTCACACAATCCAGAAAATAAGTTTAAAAAAACTGCAAGAGTTAACTACTTTATGCAAAAAAGGTTATTATAAATTAGATGATTATTTAAATGATAAAATTGTCTGGTGTTGTATTGGTCCAGCTCAACACAAAAAGTAGTATTAAGAATGATTAAAATTATAAAACTGGACTTTAAAAAAAATTGCCCTGGGGGGGCCCTGTGCCTCTGGTTTTTTTCCGGTTCTCATTGGCTATACAGGTACGAATACGGCAGCAGTTTTCGATACAATTCACTATGACGTGCAAAAAGAGATTTGTAAAAAAATCCAATATAGTTAATTTCTTGCTCTTTTGGGGTGGGAAGGACCTTGATCCTCGTCTTCGTTTACATTTTCTTTGTCTGTGTCATTTTCTCCATCGGAACCCTGTAGGGAAACGGTCAGAGGATCCTCCTGTTCTTCTTCACCTTCGGAGTCAACTTGAGGGACCCCATTCAAGCAGTTCCCCTGGCAATTTTGGCACGCTGGGGAACATTTGAGGCTTGCTTTTTTGCAGCCGCACTTCGCGCTTGCACAGTCTTTCGTGCATCGACAGAAAATCATTTTTAGAATCTCGTCCGGTGCAGCTGCTAACTCACTGTGCACTGGGGCCAGACAGTCGTTTTCAATCTTCCACCCGTACATCTGAGGAGGCAGGTAATTTCCCAGCCACAGCTGAATTTGGTGGAATGTTCGAAGGGAATGCTGTTTTACTGCTCCCTCGGTAGGAGGAAGACAAGAGATATCAGGCTTGATGGTGGCCACTGATTTCAAGAATGACTTGTACCTGTAGGCATTGAGGGAAATCTCTTTCGCTGGAGCTCCATACCACCTTAAAATACTATTTACAGACGACGGCGCCTTTAAGAGGCACACCGCCGAACGGACCTCACACCTGGCTCCCGCAAGCCTTACGAGCCCCAGCAGTGGCTGTCCACTGAGGACCCCGTAACCCTTACGGGCGCTATACGGCATAATATCCGCTAAAAACCCTGCGAACACCCTCTAAGCTGCTTAGTGCGAAGCCGCGGAATCCCCGTTTAGGGATTCTTTCGCGTCTCCGCACCTAGCAGCCTCCCGGCCTTGCCGAGGTTCCGCGGCAGGGGTCTCCCGGGGTATCGCGAGGACCCCACAGACGTGCGCAGGACGGCCCGCGCGTGGGGGCTGAGTACGCGGCCTAGTGCCCACCGTACCGCCCTCATACGTCTACTACACTAACAATTTTGTCCTTAAATAAAAAAAAAGGCAATTGTTTCTATTATTGAAGATAATTTAATGCTCTACAACCCTATGGCCGGCATTTATTTTTTGGGTGCATTGTTGAAGAGTCATCCGGTCAAATAGAGCAAAAATGGGAACAAATTTTTTTTCCATAATTACAGACTTTCAAGAGCGGATAGCTCGAAAACTATACAAGATATCAAAAAATTTGACTGAATAAGACTTGTAGCAAATTTAATCAGCTTTCACTTTAGTGAAAGTCTCATGTCGCTAGGATGCATAGTTTTCGAGATATATGCGAAAAACCTAAAAATGGGACCTTCAAGCCCCCCCCCTCCCCCCGGCTTAAGGGCTACGGGCGGGGACTTTTGATATGTTTACCTCCTAACTAGTCCTAACAAAGTCACGAAGTCAAAAATTGTGTTCTAAGCAATTCCCTCTATACCTGTTTTTGAGCATTCGTTGCCTGGACTATTTATATATAAATATACTTATGTATGTACAGTATATGTATTCTCTCCGTTACCCTAGTATCTCGTAATACAAACCTTACAGTGCTTTATTTGGGGCTAAGCTAATTGGTGTGAGAATTGGAAATATTTATTTTTTTATTTATTTTTATTGACGGATCTGAAATTTGTCCTTGTTGGCTACTCGATTGTTTTGTCAAAATAGTCCGGCGATTGAATATTAACAAAATAATATGAATTTTGTGTTTAAAGGTGGTTAAATAGAAAAAATACGTAAATCATTCTACTTATATGTGAAATTTAACACGATCCTTTTGTAAGTTTAATATTCCAGATATGTTTTACAGCAAATTACATAACATTTTGTCATTTTTGACCTCTAACATACAATCGCGCGACTCGACTCAGTCTAGTGAAATATCCGAGCGCAACATAGTTTTGTTTTGAAACTGGCCCAACAGCGGGGGAAAATCGACAGAGGGGAACGCTGTGAATGCCGACTCCCCTCCTGGCCGCGTAGGCTGCGTTGCTATTTGCCTGGGAAAACAAACGACCAAAAATACTCTCGCTAGCTGCTTTATTTCCAGCGCAGACAATAAAAGCCTATTAATGCCTGAAACCTGTCGTGGGCGTAGAACTACAATCGAAGCTAAGCGACCACTATTTTTTCCAGGCGACATCTTATAAGAAAAAAAAATACAAACGTTATGCATCGTTGAGGCGTTGCTATGAGAGTTTTCCATATATCGTACTTTTTTTATTTTCAAGCTGACCTTTTGATGTCCTGCAACATTCATTCTTTATTTAGTTTAATTTAATCGCGTTATACTACACAAACCAGTCATACCTTACTGCTTTCTCACGTTACAATAGCCACAATATATAATAAAACTTCGTGAGACGTTTTACGGCGCTGTCATTGACTGCGTGACCGCTCCACCCCGTACCCTTCTACATCTGTTTCGCGCAAATAATACAAAATAAAATTCCCAAGCGTAGTATGATACTTGTCCCGGAAGCGAGCAGAAGGTTGTTTGAAAAGGCTATATATTGAATGCGACGTAAGCGCGCGCGCACTGTCCGCTAAACCGCGGTTGCTGTTGACAGATTGACCGTGACTTTAGAAAAGTAAGTGACGATCTCTGTGTGCTCGATCTGGAACATTTTGTTATTCATAATATTGATTCATTTCGAAAGTGGTGTTGTTTAGTGTTTAATTTTTCGTAATCGGAATGACGTTTGCTTTATATGGAACGTTTTGTTATACATATTTTAAAATTCGAATTTGGTGTTCGTTATGTGTATTTTTTTTTAATTCGGAGGATGTTTTATATTAGTGCAGTTGTGATGTTATTTTTTTACCCTTGCTTAGATAGTGTTTTTTTTTTAATTTTTGTGTCACAAAGAGTGCAAACGGCTGAAAGATTTCATACAATTACCTATATTATTTCCATATTTTTTTTGTAACACACTGTTAATAATACATTGCTATCTACCAAACTTGTGTTAAGGAAATGGCAAGTATTCCACCAACTTCTTATGAATGAACAATAAGAGAAATCTAAATTATTTTTATTCAATAATTGAAAATTTTAATATTATGAATATTAAAATTCATTTAATCAGTGTTCACTGAAATTGAAATATTTAAATAAACCACATTACATCATTTTACGCAGTTAGTAAAGGAGCTAGACCTCTCCGGGTTAAATTATCTGGTTATACTGAACGCGAAAATACTGTCTGCTATCAAAAACGTCTGCTGTGATTAGCGAATACCCGGCGTGTTATGAAGAATGGACGAAAGATTTCGCTATGACACTGGCCGATTGCTACTACGCTGAAAAAAGGAAATTATGTAAATAAATACAAACTTTTGAGTTTAGAACGCCACTCTTTCATGAGGTTGAAAAGTTTTGCATGGGAAAAGGGATATCGACTTCATAAATGCTCCGACTGTGCTCATTGCACTGTTTTAGTGATCTAAAGCCATATTTGCATTACTGCCTCTCGAATGAAACCGGTCGTAGGTAGGAACTAATTTTGTGCTTTATACCAACATTAAGATAACGGCTAATAATATGAAAGGAATATGCTTTTTTGCTATTTCTTTCTCACAAAAAAAAATTGGAATATCATCCTAAGAAAGGATAAGTGATTGTCTCCTCCTTAGAGGGTCCAAGTTCGATTTAAATGGCATGGTTTCTACATAAACTCGTAAATTTTTAAATACATACCTTAAATAATCGAAGTTATGTTAACATTATCTAACATATATATATAAAACAAGAATCCTCAGAATTAATTATAACTACGAAGTTGTTATGCACTTTCTTGTACAATCAGCCAATTTGATTCCTGGCCCACCATATGTTTTATTTTGTTTTTTTAACAACCATTTTTAAAAAATAAGGTAGATTTTTGCTTCCATGTCCCTAGAAACAAACATGTTATTTTCTGAACAAATATTTGATGTGACAGATTTTGCCGCTTCCCTGTAATATAATTTTGACATTAAATTATTTGGAGCTTTGCCCATGCACTTATAAATTCCCTATTACCCTTGGTTTACACCAAGTAACAAGAAAAAAACTTGTTGAATTCTTGTTGCGGTTGTTTGAAACATTTTTGTTTACACTGCATAGACAACTAGTATCTTGACAAGTATTAATCACTCATTTACTTCACATATTTTATTTCTCCAACAAGTTTGATACAAGTATTGTATACCACATGTTTAATACATGTATATGACTTTGAACAAACAATGAAGACATTATATAAAATTTGTTAAATATATACCTTGGTGTAAACGAAGGGTTAGTTTACCAACGTTTTTTATAATGTCAAGAAATCGAAAGAGTTTCTGTTACATTTACGATTTTAAAAGTGATTTCAAAATTTACACTGCTATTCCAATTTTTCATACTAGCTGACCCAGCAAACTTCGTACCGCTATAAAAATAGGGACTGGTGGTAGAAGGATGAAAATTTAGGGTTGTATGTATTTTTTAATGCCACATTACAATATATAAAATTATAAAAAATTAAGAAAAATAAATATTGTCTAAAAATAAATGTTTTGACCCCGCAGTTACGCCTGGAGGGTGAGGGGTAGATCGGGGAGTTGGTTTACCTGGTAGGTTTACCGGCTGGCTAGTCGCTCGGACTGCGGTCCGTGAGACTAGTCAGGTGACGCTGTAAACGGAGAAGCCCATGATCGGCTAAAGCGGGTGCGGATCGGGCTGCTGGTCGGAGACGGGGTGGGTGCACGTCAAAGTATACCCGCACCAACTAGCGGCCCTCGGGCTGCTCGTTGCTTGCCGAATGCACCACGCAATTACCTGCGTCGCGAGGGTTTGTTAACAGCAAACCAACGGTTATTATCGTGGATATAATGCATTTTTTCTTCCCGTCATCGAAACAAACGGGGTGGACAACCCTTATGACTTAGGGGTATGAAAAATATATGCATATACAATTTCATAAAAATCGGTCAAGCAGTTTCGGAGGAGTATGGTAATCAACATTGTGACACGAGAATTTTATATATAAGATTTTATCCACATTAACATAGTTTCCTTGTTATTAGAACATCCTTAGTGCAATTACGCATTCAATACAAAGGAAAACTTGTCCGTTTTGACATTTTTAGGCGAATTATCTAGCAAGTGGGTCAGGACGCAGTTGGTACGATCGTACACACCATCTTATTCATTATATTGTTATTATTACAGCAATTAACTACTAGATTATCAAGTTAATATCCAGTTTTGTTTTTGTTTTTTTAAACATAATTACTTCCTGACATATTTAATTGCCTAAAGCGTGAATGAATTATTATCTGCCCATGTTGTTTCATTGCTTACTCAACCTATGCAAACATAGCTAATAATTATTTCAGTTTACTGTCAGGGATAAACAAGTTTGTCTTGAATTAGGCATGCGATTTGCATACACGTATTAAAGTCACAAAGTTAGTATATTAAGTAATTGTGTAAATTTTAGTCATGTATGTAGGAAGGTAAGACGGTAAGGGTGCAAGTTGTCTTTTATGATGTTGCTTTGTTTATATTTGAAAAAAATTACACCGGCGATTATATGCGTATGGAATGGACATCGAAATCATACAAAATTCTTGAGATTTTACCTTTATCTCAATTAAAACTCTATCGTATTTCTAGTCCAAATTGGCTCTATTTCTTGAAATCATTGATATCTAGATATTTTTTGCCAACAATGCGAAGAGATGGTACTGCCTGGATAGAAAGATGTAGGTTCGAATCCCGTCTAAAATCTGGATCGAGTGGATATTATTCTAATATTTTTTTTTATATTTAAACATCTTGCAGTAAAATATTTAAACTAAAAATATAATAATCATTGATAACGACTATTACACCCCTCCTTTTCTCCTTCATATTTATTTATCTTTCTATTAAGGGTTGCCTGTAAGAGATTGCTGCCTAGCAATAAGGCCGCCTTTATTGTGTACGTTCCGTATATCACGTTTTTAATTTAGTTGTGTGTTTTGTATGGTGTATTACAATAAAGAATATGATTATGCTCGTTAAAGTATGGGGTATAAGAGTAATAATTAATTTGATAGTATTTGTCTCACGTGTACCTATAGCGAAAACCGTAATAAGAACTAAGTATTAACGAAATCTTTCCTTTTTTCAGGCAAAGATGCGCCGTTTACTCCTAGCCGCCGTTGTGCTGGCCGTCGCACGAGCAAGACCAGCTCTCCTGTTCGCCCAGCCCTTCCAACCAATAGGGATCGAATACGCTCATACATCAGTTCCAGCTGTGAGACCCCATCCTGCCGTAGAACTGAACGCGGCGAGCGAAGCGCTCCTACCGCGAGAGTTGCTCAAAAGCCACGACTTTTACGACAACCCCGCTGTCGCTGCTGGCTTAGCTAAGGAGTCGTGGTTTACGAACAAAGAGATGCAAGTAGTGGAACGAGAGGCTGAGAAGATTCCTCGGGAGAGAATCTATCATATTGTAAAGAACGCTGGATTTCTAGACAGGCATTAGGGAGTTCGCCGGTTGTTTTTAATGTCTCCTAATTGACAATAAGTAACAGATTGGCTTATTAAAGTTTTGTTGCTAATTGTGATTTTACCAACGAATGAGTTATGATAAGGAACCTTAGAATAATTAAAGAACATTATAAAATGGTGAACGATGATGTAAGAAAGTGGGATTTTGCTTATCATAAAAATGTTTACTTGTATTTTTTTTATATAAATATCTAGGTACTTTCTCTTTGTGAATGTGTAATCTTTAATCTTATATAATATATCTTGTTCTTTCATATTGATATCTTTAGCAAGATTTTTACTTATTTTCATTCAAGTTTTTTTTATTTAATTGATACTTTTATTAAAACCACCTTCATAATTATGTAATTAATAAAGGTTGTAGAAACAAGTAGAAATAATAACATTAGTTAAGTTTTATATATTTTGAAATGCAACGATTATTATTAGAACGAAAATTACTTTATTTTTATGGGTATCAATAGTTTGAACAAACTTTTGATGTTTTGTAAATAGTTTTCTATAATTATCATCACCTTGTTTAAGATTCATTATGTAAATAAAATACGTATACCTATATTATTAATTACATAGGCCGATCTAAGTCCATAAGGTTTGTAATCAATCAAAAATTCAAATAGCTGGTAAGTTTTAATTTATTCTCTAAGGTACATAATTATTATAAGTCAACGTATGTATGTAAATAAATTATAAGGTATTTGTACGCAGTTATTTTAAGGTTGATTATAGTTAAACCGGTTTATACTATGCTGTTAGTCAAGAAGTTATTCAGTCATTTTATTTATTTAATTTTTAGAAGTTATTTGCTGTGATCTCGAGCAATAAGTACATTTGCGTAAGTTATTGTTCAATTAGTTTTTTATTAATAAATATTTTTATTAAGAAACGGTTGCGGTTTTATTCTAATATGCAAGATACCACTGCTGCAAAAATGTCTAACACGTCAATAATTTTAGTCAATAATTAATTTTGACGACCTCCGTGTCCGAGTGGTTTGTACGCCGGGTTTCATGGTGTCGCCTACTCGAGAGGTACCGGGTTCGGATCCCGGTGGGGGCAGATGTTTGTGTGATGAATTAGTACTCCAGTCATGGATGTTTAATATGTATTTCTATATAAATATACTTATATATGTACTGTATATGTATTTTATCCGTTACCCTAGTATCCTATAACACAAGCCCTATAGTGCTTACTTTGGGGCTAGGTGCTAGCGGTTTACACCTCGATAATACTGCAAATGCTATGGGGATTGTATTTCGTTGTTGTTATTTGTTAAATGGTTTAAGGTTATTTATTATATGGGTGATGTATTTAGTATACGCGTTTATGTATGATTCTTTACTTAGAGTTTGCAGTAGGTTAAATTGGTTCTGTAGGTTGCAGGTGGAGATGTTATATTCGGCGCGGGCAGCGGCGAAACGTGGGCATTTTTCGATAAGATGATCCAAGCTTTGGGTACTGGTGTGTGCCCCGAAGTGTTACCCACGGTTTATTAGAGGTATTTTCCCGCAGTAAAACGTAGCCTTTGTGTTAATCCAGGGTGTCGGCTAACTCCATTTCAAATTTTATTAAATCGCTCCAGCCGTTTAGACGTGAAGAAGTAACAAACATACACACACAAACTTTCGCCTTTATTATATTAGTGTGATTAATATTCATAGATTTCAAATTGACGGTTAAATAAATAAATAAAAATAAAAATTTCCAACACTCACACCAATTAGCCTAGCCCCACAGTAAGGCTTGTGTTATGGGATACTAGGGTAACGGATAGAATATATATACTTAACATATATAAGTATATTTATGTAGAAATACATATTCAACATCCATGACTGGAGTACAAATGTTCTTGTTCATCACACAAGCATCTGCCCCCACCGGGATTCGAACCCGAGACCTCTCGAGTCGGCGACGCCATGAAACCCGGCGTACAAACCACTCGGCCACGGTTGACAGCAAACATTATAGAAACGATACACTGCAGGCAATCTGCTTCTTAGTCATTTTAGGTATTATTAGCGTTTTAGGTATTATTGGAGTAGTGGCATCTTTTATTTCAGGCACTTAACCGGTTTTCTTTAGTGGTTCAGATCATGTTCTGTACGTCACAGTCTCCATTGAATTCTGGTTTTTTGAAGCTCCTTCCGCGTTTGCAGGTTACCCAACACTCATGGACTGGTTTTTGAACGAAATCTGCAAAAAAAGCAATTACCTACATTTGGATTTAATAATACACGACGAATATTTTTACTATATTTTAGGTTAAAGAAGTTAAATGAAACACACTTAAACGTGTTCAAAAGGCGTCTTTTAATTACTTATTTCCTTATTTTTTTCTTTTTGTTTTGATGATTTAACACAAGAAGGAGACAAAAAGCCTCCCTAAATCCAGTTCTTCTCAGAAAGGTCTCCCAATTTGAAAGTCATTCGAAGGTAGCTCGACAAAAGTAAATAAAATTCATAATTGTGACCACGCAGCTTGAAAACGAAGCGAAATATCCAAAAAGTAATAAAGAGACGTAATTTGAACCCGTTTAAGCCTGTTTCATTCAATGATTGTGAGTGCAAACTTAAGAAAGAAAAATAAATAATTTAAGCTTAAGGAGTAGGCGGTAAATTTCTTGAGCAAAACCTCAGACTAATCAATTTGCACAATAGAGTTTTTGCGTGAGCAATTGCTACTGACCAGGATTCCTTGTCTACGGTCGTTGCTCAAGAAGTTTGCTGGGATATACAGGGTGGTCCAACTAGTGACGTCAACAATTTTTTTTAGATTCCTCGCACCTAGGATATCCGAAAATATCCTTAGTATATTCCGCGATTTTTCTTAGTTTTCGAGTTATATTTTTTTTTGTGTATTTTTAATGATTTCTGCCAGCGAGGTTTCAAAAATTCTTATCTTTTTTCGTAGTAGGTATTTTGCAGTCTTTTTTTTGTGACCTAATTGTCTTGAATGTTGTTTTAATAAAAAAATAACTCAGCTTCCTGCAATTACTTAAAGTTACTCAAAAAAGGCTTGAAAGTTGGAACTTCAATTTAGAAGTACAAAAAGGACTTTCTATTATATAGGTTCTCGCTAAAATTAAAAACTCCGCATGCTTCTAAACTATCAAAAATCATATAAAAAAATTGTACTTAATTAGCCTATTTTTGTTGTAATTGGCTTTTGAAGGCGGATAGGCTAAAAATCATTGAAACATGATTAAAGCATTAAAAAATATTTTATTTACTTTTTTCATTGTTATGGTAAATTAAACCTAAAATGTAATTTCAAATTTAATTTAATTGAAATTTCTGTAAAATATCTTTAGTTATTTTTAAGCCAATTACAACAAAAATAGGCTGGTTAAGTACATTTTTTTTTATGATTTTTGGTGGTTTAGAAGCATGCGGAGTTTTTAATTTTAGCCAGAAGCTATGGAAACTCCTTTTTGTATTTTTGTATTGAAGTTGAACGTTTGAGTAAATACTACTAAAAACTAAAGATCCAACTTTCAAGCCTTTTTTGAGTAACTTTAAGTAATTGCAGGAAGTTGAGTTATTTTTTTATTAAAACACCATTCAAGACAATTATGTCACAAAAAAAGACAGCAAAAAACCTACTACGAAAAAAGATAAGAATTATTGAAACCTCGCTGGCAGAAATCATTAAAAATACACAAAAAAAAAAAAAACTCGAAAACTAAGAAAAATCGCGGAACATACATGGGGTATTTTCGGATACCCCCAGGTGCGAGCAATCTAAAAAAAATTGTTGACGTCACTAGTTGGACCGTATACAGGTAATTAAATAAAATAAAATTTGGAATGTAGTAATATTGAATTTAGAAAATGAAGTAAATTGTTCCTAGGTTTCACACAACTTGAGCTTAAATAGATAAACGTAAGCTGTGAATACTGTAGTACTTCATCATTAATTATCGACAAAAACTATACTTAACTCGATACGAAAACATTGTGTCGTCAGAACATGGTTCATAAATGAATACTTATTTTTTATGTAATATAGGGTAAGCTACTTTCACAGATGGACGCTCTAGTTCAAGCGAAACATTAAATAAGTATAACTTCCTCCCTTACTTTGTTTATAAGAAAAATATTAATCTTTTGGGAACCTTCTCATACAAAAAGTATTGTACATTAATCCATAATATTAATAATGTAATACCTATAACAGTAACAGCGTATTCTTTTAGAATTTCTTATAAAACAAAACTAGTTTAAACGGGATAATGCACGAAACTTAATTTATTTATTGACGTTTCGTAGCCTTTCCAGGCTTCGTCGTCAGAATAAAACTTTTGTTTAATTTGTCGAGCTACCTTCGAAAGACTTTTATTGAGCGTTTGGTTATTTCATCGTTCGATTTTTAAGTTTTATTGTCTATGTATGAATTTATTATTTAATTTACTTAATAAAGTATTTTATTTAAAATTCTTGTTTGTAATTTTGAGTTTATTTATTTGACCCTAACTACCGTAAACTACCACCGGTTCCAAAATTGGGAGACCTTCCTGAGAAGAACCGGCGAAACAAACTCAAGAGAGGCTTTCTATCTCCTTCTTATGTTAAATTATGCAAACAAAAAGAACTAATAGTATCTGATGGTCTTGCAGTGTGTGCTCGGGGTTGGGATTTTATCTCCTGTATAATAGGTTCCCAAGCTGGTGGTATATACCAACCATCTTCCCTATTGAAATTTGGATATTTTTTAATCTCAATAGCCTCGCGCATCATTCGAGGAACGAACCGCCGCTCAGCTGCAAGGATCTGTGGTCTATCAAATCTAATGTAGTGGTTTGGTCCCCCTAATGCATGTTCACACACTGCAGATTTATTTTCGCGCCTATGTTTCATATCTGCGATATGTTCTTTTACCCGAGTCCCTATACTCCTCTTTGTTTGCCCGATGTAGGAGAGCCCACAGTCGCATTCAAGTTTGTAGACACCAGCAACTTGAAAGGGTATATTGCACTTGACCGGTCGTAGAAACTGGTTGATCTTCTTAGGCGGCTTGAAGTATGTATTGATTGAAGCACGCTTCAGAATCCTCCCAATCTTGTCAGTGACTCCTTTCATGTAAGGTAGTATAGCAGGTTGTCGGTCGACTGTGCTAGGTTTGGCGCGACTGTGACGGCTACGTGGTACATTCAGGTTATTATCCTTCAGTACTTGCTCGACATGCTGAAGTTCAGCTGCCAGGTGTTGTTCGTCACAGACACCCCGTGCTCTCTGAAACAAAGAGTTTCCTACGGCAGTTAATTGTTTCGGGTGATGGTGTGAGTCACCATTGAGGTACCTATCAGTATGAGTCACTTTACGATACACAGTATGGCTTAAACTTTGGTCAGGATTCCTGATTAATAAAATATCTAGAAAAGCTAGTTTACTATCTGCCTCTAACTCCATAGTGAATAGGATGTTGGGGTGTATAGAGTTAAGGTGATTTAAAAAGGCAGAAATTTGATCTGTTGGGAGGATTGTGAAAGTATCATCTACGTACCGCTTATATAGCCTGGGTG